GGAAGCCAGACACGTATTTCAAAGCCAGTGAAGTCGGTTAGAAATTAGTATACTCTATCCTTCTCTGGGATGTCTACGACTTTTTAATTTATTCAAGGAAAGTTTGTTAGAAATTCGTGCAGTTCGAAGCCTGGCTTTTCTGGAATGGGTACCGACCGATCATCACCGGAGGAACCAGATGCCACGTTTGTCATTTTTACGTTTTCATTAAATCTTTCTCATTTTTCCTATTTCCTCTAATAGCGTTTGTCTGTACGCGAGCAAAATATTCTTTGCGAGTGATTTAATTATTTTTGAAAGGATCTCTTCTCGTTTCGTTTTCGAAATTCTTAAAGAACAGAGACCGTTAAGAATCTATTTTTAACTTTTCGTAATATGAAACAATATTTATAGCGTTATTCGTAACCTTTTCCTATCGTAATACTATGTAACTTTTTATTTTAACAGTCTCTGATCACATATCTTTTAACATTGTCTCTTAATTTAAAAATAATTTAATTATTCGTATCGATTATTTAATTACGCCCTGTTGATTACTGGACAATTCCCTAGACAATCTAGTATCTCTATTACATGACAGAGAAAATCTTCTCGCCATCGGTCATCGTTATGACGGTACGTTGATTTTCCAGTGTGGCTGGAAAGCAGAAATCAGACAGGCCAGATGACCATACTAGCGACGTGTATACGCGTGGACTCGGCACAGCTGGACTTTATCGTGCTCGCGTGTGCGATCGTGAATCATAATGCGTCGCGCGATTACACATTACGCGCCCCCTCCCTATCTAACCACTCGTAACGCATTACTGTACGAGTGGGTTCGTCAATATGCCGGCGAACTAGATTATGGCTGTATCCGTGGTAATGCTTTATCGTTCCGTATAACGTTCGCGTGTCGCACGTTTACTCTCTTTCTCTATTCTCTTCTCTCACTTCTATGTTTCACTCTCACACTCGAAATAAAACGCTCGACCTGGCCATGAGACTCTTTCGCGACGAATATTCCCCTTTCGTATCGATTCGGCTGTGTTTGTTCAGTATCGTACAACCGTACTAGTTATTCCAGGTTACTTTGTTTCTCGTATTCGCATCGTTTCATATGGACTTTTGACACCCTTTCTTCTTTTTTTTTTTTTTCGACTTGTTTAGAACGCATTTACGTTTTATCACGGATATTACACGTAACGCGGAATTAAATAATCGAAATCGAAAAAAGATTTAATTCCCGAATTCGAGAAATGAAAAGAAATTGTTATATTAAGATCTCGACAATTAATACAGGCTATCGGAATTATTCTATACGGATTGTATTGTATTAGTGCGTTAAACGATAATATGATCGCGACAATATCGTACTATTATGCTGGTGTGGAATATTAGCAATATTATCAAACATTGATTCTGTTAAGCATATCCGTTCAGCGAACAATATCGTATATTGTACACACATAGATTTTTCGGTTAGGCGAGAAACGATGAGCTCGCAGTCAGTCCGACGATACTAGTGGCCGTGGCCGCTTCGAACAGGAGTAAATCATGATTAATCGCAATTTCATGGACGTTCTGCGTAAGTCATGAAATTAATGTAACGGTATAACTCGCGATTACGTACATATTACGTGGCCGCGTATCTCTCCACTTGTTACCACTGTCTGGTCAGTTCAATATGCCGACAATACGCGCCTATGCTCATGCTTTATCGCACGAGCTATAACCGTCGATACCGCTAGGGAATAAGGAGTGCCAACCTATGATAGAAATATGTGCGTTGCGATACAGCGTTACGCGAAGAATTAGACAATTATATACGAAGTTTATGTAGATTTTTCCACGACTGCGTAATCTGATACTTTCAAAACTACGGCAAATACTTTAATATCGTAAAAATTTTCGTCGTAGTATCGAAACTCTAGTATATGATCAATGAGGTTATCTTCCGAATCGATATAGGTCACGAGCAATCGTTTTCGAGTGAAAGCACGATTGTATGTCGTATGTTTCGTTCGGATGGGACATTTTTACTGTTTCATTCAAATTTTATTTTCCCTTACAACCGGTTGTTTCTCTTGTATTTCTGTTAGACACGAATGTTTTGTCGCAAAAAAAAAAAAAGTGTAAAAGGGACAAGCTTCTGCCTCATGCACTTAAAACAAACGTCTCATTATAAGGCGGCACCGAAAAGAAAGATGGCATGGTAGCGATGAATAATTATCTTGGTGGAAAAAAGCAAGATGGAAAAAGTGAGTTCAAGAGCAACGGAAGTTAAATGGAAATATTATTCTACTCTGGTCGTGCACGTTTTACTAACTATTCGCTAGGATTCTTTTTAAATACTGCTATTAATTTAGTTCTTTTCATCGTTTCGATAAATTGTTTTTAAATAGTTAGCTTTAATCTAATTAATCATGATGAATCATAAATCTAATTGCTATTTCTTTTCTTTAATATCGTGAAAAGAACTAATGTAATGGAATAATCTATTTTTTAGATTATTACATTCCTTTATTTAACAAATATATAATATTTTTTGGCGTAATATTCGATAGAATATATTTGAAAGATGAAAATAACGTAAACTATGCATATGGAACTATGCATATGACGTAATAGAAAAGAAGTATTTTTATATTTTTCTCACCAATTGATGTTTGACGTAGAACATAATACTCTTTTGGAAAATGTCTTGTAACACAAAATTAACACTCAACATCATCGATTTTCACTTTAATTCACTCGTTAAAATGACGACAATGTATCATCATAGGAAAATCATGCTCTACTATCGAAATACATATAGTGTCAATATGACTACTATTTTATTATTTATGAAGTATTAAAAAGTTTACAAAAAATTATATTATAATTATATATAATTTAACATAAATAGGAATAAAATATATCTTAAAATTCTTCATTGATATCTTATTAATAAAAAAATATATTTTTTAAATAATATAATTGCATTGATTAATACTCTTAATTGAGTTGTACGGTAGCGGTAGCTTGTGATTGCCGTGCCATCTACGCTGCAAATTTTAAACGTCTTAAAGACAAGCGATCCTTTCTCGTCCGGAGCTCGTCGAAAGCGGTTGTGGCGTCGTTCTACTTTATGTAAGTAACATGAAACAAATTTACATTCACGGCAAAAACGAGCAGTTCCATCACGAAGCGTTGTAAACTTCCACGGCGTGTTCGTACACGTTGTTAAACATTCATATTTTTTCGCACGCATGAAATATTCTGCGCAGTTTCCTTTGGCGTCCCGTGGTCCGCGTTACTTTTCGTTTCACGACTCGAAACAATAGAAAAAAGGAAATTACTGTGTTTATTTATCCTCGTTTGCTAACCTCGTTCGAAGCACGCTCTGATACATTCGTGGAATAAAAATAAAATTAAAGTGATGTGTTTGAACAGCTAGAGTGTCTTTTGTTAGGTCGCAATATCATCTTAATAATTTACGACGTCAAAATGGCTGCCTAATTCGCGTTGTGTACTGTTCGATTATGCGTATTTGTATGCTTATTCGTCTTCCCGTATACGAGACAACGAATACGAGACAAAATCGTAGGGGAATTAAGCGAAAACTTTTCATATTTTGTATTTCGAATCTATCAGATACGATTAATTTCGAAATATCTTGATCGTACATCGAATGAGATCAATCCGTGAAAAATGGTGTTCGCGAAGTCGTAAAAACGAGACCGAAAGTGGCTATCCTTAACCTAGTCGAACTCGAAAGAGCGGTGCTGTGTTAAAAGGTTTCGAATTCGATTTACGATTCGAAAAATCCGTCTATCTTCCTAACGCACTGCTTCGGGATATGCACGGACAACTGGCATGAGAGGGAATATATACGAGATAGTACATTTTTTTTTATAGCTATTTCCAACGGTAGCGAACGTTTCGTAATTAATTACAGCGGGGTACTCTCTTCTTTTATCGACTACCGTTTCGCGAGTGGCTCGTAAAAATCCGTGA